TTCAAGAAAATTTGGCAATAATTCATGGAATGATATTCACCTCGGTGAGGATCTCTCTGCATTGTCGAACAAGTTATTTCCTATGTAATGTATGTGTTGAATGACCCTGACTTTGTTGTCAAAATATTGTTTTGACATTTGTTAAATATTGGGATAAATGTCATCTCTGAATGTTTGACATGAATTATTATGATTAGGGCAGTTCTAAGTCGGAATCACAACCGGGGTCTTTTCATTTGAATCAAATGTACAACATGTACAGTTTGGACATTTTTCTGTGATGTGAATGCTACTTATGTTTGTAGAATGTCCGGATGAATAAAAGAGACAGTCATCTGTGCAGCATCAATGCAAAGAAAGACCATAGAAGAGCAACAGTGAGTGGTAAATATTTTGAAATTATTCTGTTTGGTTCACATGTTCATATGGTTATTTTGCAAATATGTCTTCAGTTTGTTCCTTATTGCTGTGGGCACGGATGTCCTATTATCTAAGGCACTACAATTTTCTGTGCAGAGTTGCATCTCTTGGGCTTAGCAGAAACCTATAGTCATGGGTTCAAATCCTGGTTCTCCCCGATTATGTTGCTAGGTTAGTCAGCATTATACACATGCTCGTGGGATTCATCAAAGACCTGCATCACTTAGGGCTTTCTTCCCACATCAAGCTAACATGCGCTGATATATCTGGAATACTGTTCAAAGCAGTGTTAAAGCCAACTCATTTATTTAACACTGCATCCAGCAATAGTTTGGCTATATGACAAGGATTGTAAATATATATTTTTCCATGTTGATGAGTTGAAACAATCACTAAATGACATCTCTTAAAAAGATTCCCAGCATTCCAAGCCTAATTAATAGATAAGTGATTGAGTAGGCTTATTGATCGCATGTAATCATACCACAGTGATGTGGGATATTGTCCATAATAGTTATCATCGGTTTGTCTGGACCGAGTTCATAACATTAGTCGCTGGTTAGTCTGGTTGAGATTTGAGATGTGATTATCTTAAATGTTTGATTGATAAAATCTTTTTACATAATGCTGCAGAAACTGAAGTCCTGCTTGAGATCCCTGGATGAGTACTCCAGGTTGACAGTCTGGAAGGACCAGACAAGGGAGTCCTAAACAGAGGCTGCACCCCTTCAGATATCAGAGGTGATTTGCAGACAGCGATGACGAGGGTCCTGTTATTTCAATGGAGGCCGACCGAGAAGTTGTATGCCAAATGGTACTGGGACACACAAAGGCTGGTCTGGCTAATGTGAGAAGACCAACCAATGCCAAGCTGGAGTGGAATTCTTCCAGGACTTTCAGGAAATTCTTGTCTTGAGCCATATGGTAAACACTTGAAAGGAATGATAAATGGGACTTATTGTCTTTAAATGTGGACCCAAACACCAAATGGAAAGTTCACAATTCTACTAACACAATGCAGCAGAGATAGAGTCTTACTGGTATCCCCTCATCCTGGTTCCTGTTCATCCATACCAATATTGAAAGAAAAGGAGGATTGAGGGAAAGTAAGTTCTCTGAACTGGTGAACATAATCTGTAGGTACTGTCAAGCGAACAGTTATCACACTCTGTTATGAGTATTGAAGAATAGGATGAAATTGCATACTGCATCAGGAACCATCATGTGAACACTGTTCAATGTGCGATATACTATAGGCATATGAATAAAAGAAATTGATAATTTGATTGTTGCTTATGTTTCATTTGCCAGCTGTGTAAATTGGGATGTTTCATGATTTTGCCTCAGTTTAATAGCCACACTTATCTTATGAAACCATGCATTGCTTGGGCATCTCAAGATAAATAACACATGTTTCCTTTGCTCTGAAAACGTCTGATGACACATTGATCTGTTAGGTCAAAGTCACAACCAGACAAAAAGTTTGTTTGTGGTCTAACTCTTCCTTTGGACAGGGGTCGAAGTTGGAAAAATGTCGTGTGTGATCTATATATACTACATTTTCCCCTAAATTGCCTTTTCTGCAGAAGTCTTAGTAACTCTAATACATATACTGGTAACATTACTTCCATATTTTGGTCAATGATATGTTGAATTCTACCAAAGGACTGCATATTTGGTTTATGTGCTGGATAGCTCTTTGAAATGTTTTTGAAATATTTATCACTGATATTGAAGGTCAAATTCACACTCAAAAGTGATAACTCTTGAAGGGTTGAAGTGTAAGATCAAGGCAATAGTGAAGGGGTCATTCATAAAGTATTTCTGCAATTATTACTAAAATGCCTATATTTGGAGATATTTGTGAAGTATTAAGAACATAATTGTTATATTATTTGAATACACATATATGTGCAGTGGTTACAACTCCAGTGTCAAATTAACTCTCAATCCCTTTTAATAAAAGAATTCACAGTAACTGAGGAAGAGCTTACTGTAGTACCATAAAACTAGGGTGAGGCAAATTTCAATGAAGTTAGTATTTTGGATATAACAAGTACATGTGCCGTTACAAATAGTCTTATTATCATCTCACTAGGACCAAAGGCCCAAGTGAGCACATTGTCAATGACTTTTTCTTTTTCTCAGTACAAACTGGAAGTCTGGACATGAAATTTAAGGATATCATTATATATGAGAACTGATGTTTGTTCCTTAAATACCATTAACATATGAAAAGGACAATATATGAAATTGAACAATTGTCTTCTCCAAAAATGTTTTAGGAGGATATTTACCATTAAAGTAACCCAGAATATTACAACAGCTACCTGTAATGCACAGGCTAACATTTTTTACCAGAAGCAAGTCATGAAGAAAATTTGCATCTGGATACCTTCGGGAAACCTTCCGGAAACCTTCCAGATGCCTTCAACAACCTTCAAATTGCTTGGTATTTTCAAGTTAATTTTTTTATGTGTTTCACACTTAAGTGAACAAAATGCACCCCCCAAATTTTGAAATTTTTTGGGGAAGGTTTCCGGAAGGTATCCGGGCCGGATCCAAAATGGGTAGGTATCCGGGCCGGATCCAAAATGGGTAGGTATCCGGAAGGTTTCCGGAAGGTTTCCGGAAGACGGAAACCTACACTTTTTTTGCTGTGAAAGTGATCACTTCCACACATGCCATCATAAACTGACCATTCAAATTCATTGAACAAACTGGAATCTGTAAGGGACAAATCCAGCGAAGTGTATGAATCAGTTGCATGGTCTAAATAAGTGTGTGCAACATCACTAGAAATACATGAATCATTATTTGAAGTAAACACCCTCAAGAATTTTCTGCTTAGTGTTTGTGTGTCTTCCACTCCAGAGCGAGTTGTGACCATTTAGGTCGCCCATGGTGATAGATGGTTTAGGTAATCCATCATACAATGACTGCTGGAGATTAAAAGAAAGGGGAACATACAAAGAGCACACTGTAAAGGCCACGTGTAATGTAAAGTGTACAGCTTGAAGGTTGACGTTTAGTGAGACAGAGTTGTGGATCACTCTCTGCCTCACGAAGTTACAAGTGCCTCCTGTTGCCCTATCACCTGGAGGAGAAAAAAATGGTATTCATCTCCAGGGAGCATTGAACTGCCTCACCAGTTTTGCTTAGCGACACACTTGTAGTCCTACGATGCATTGTTTCTGAAACATCCATCTCTTCAAGAGATCCTAAATGATCCTTTTGGTGTTCTACTGGTTTGGTTTTCTGCCATAAAGTAGAGTCTATCTTACATCTTGTTAACACAATTCTTTCTCTTCCAGATTGTGCTGCTGGTACCGAATCATGCTGTGAACTTGATTTCAAGGTTGATTGCTTGTTTACTCTGCTAGTATACTCTGTGTTCATTAGTCACCCACTGGCTTCCAATTAGCTTAATCACCTCTCTGTGTCCATCAACTAGTCACTGTAACAACTTAGATGTCAATAAGTGTATATATACCTATGTTGTTTAGCCCTATCCATCACTTGCTTGATAAAGGTGTTAGGATCTACACCGAAACGTCGCACTAATTGTAATAAAGAAGTTGTTCATCCATAGAACTCGTCTTACTTCGTCATACAAACAGCTGAAAATCCTTGGAACCATCTGTAAACTTTGATTGATATGTATTTTATGTACTTCTTAACTGATCATATAATTGTTGATACTGTAATTGATTTGTTTCTTGTTTCTTTAGTTCAGTCAATGTCAGGTCTACCCAAGGCTTTACCATTTGCCAAGGTGGATAAGACAGCAAATGGAAAGGTGATATACAAAGTTCAATATTAGCAGCAGGAATAAAAAGTTTAATTCTTGTTCCAGAGGCAGAATCAAAGATGATTATACAGATTTTTCTGAGCGCAATATGGAAGGGAAGTCGCCAGTTAGAAACTAATGCCTTACAGCTCAAGATATTTGCTTTCTAACTGGCTAATATCGACTTCTTGTCAGCTATTTCATTGATCTGCCAAAGTTCGCGAAATGTCCTTCTGACGTGACCTGTGTAGCGATACACATCGTTGTTTAGCGATAGCACATAAACATTTTAAACACCGTCAGCATGTGAGGGAGTGAGTTAGTGAGTTTGATTTTACGCCGCTTTTAAAATATTTCAGAGGTAGGGGTAGGGGAAAGTCTGGAGGTTAAGGAAGGGCTGGGAGTATGGGTAGGGGAAAGGTTAGAGGTGGAGAAAGGGCTGGTGGTAGGGGTAGGGGAAAGGTTAGAGGGTAGGGGAAAGGCTAGGGGTGGAGGAAGGGCTTGGGGTAGGGGAAAGGCTAGAGCTAGGTGAAGGGAAAAGGCTAGAGATGGAGAAAGGGCTGGAGGTAGGGGTAGGGTAAAGGCTAGAGGTTAAGGAAGGGCTGGGGGTAGGGGTAGAGGAAAGACTCGGGGTGTGGGAAGGGCTGGAGGTAGGGGTAGGGGAAAGACTCGGGGTGTGGGAAGGGCTGGAGGTAGGGGAAAGGTTAGAGGTGGAGGAAGGGCTGGGGGTAAGGTAGGACTAGAGGTAGAGGAAGGGCTGGGGGGAGGGTAGGGGAAGGGCTAAAGATACGGTAGGTAAGGATTTGTTTTCCTCTCTGAAGAAACGGTCCAGTCGTCTTAGGCACACCAGAAACCGTGGATCGTGGTTTCGAATCCTGGTTCAACCCCATTGTATACATGTTTGTCAGCACCATACCCATCTTGTCCGTTTCGGGCTTTCCTGTTACATTAAAGTGTCATCCCGTGATATTAGTGGAATACGGTTCACTCGCTATTTCATGCAGTGTAATTTATTATTAAAAGGGGTCAAGGGCGTGCTTCTCTGATTTCACATTACATATCATACATCACCAAAGTCAGCCTTTGTGTGAAGATCATTGTGTTCACCCTGGATATCCAGCCTAGGTTTTTTTTAAAGTTTGACCTCTGTTGCTGCTCGGTGAATATTACCTCTGCTACTGTATTTTACTGTGCAATTGAATATCGTTCTGCCATTAAATTGAGTTCTGACATTGTTATTACCGTTCAGTAATTCTCAAAGTAAACAAAAAGCGTCTCATGTCTAAGATGTTAAAATGATCGAGAAATATCAACACAGAGGCATGATAACATTATCCATGAATTGCCCAGGGAGAAAATTTACTGGAAATGGCTGGATGGGATTGGTTTCTGACGTCAATGTTGGTGTGAAAAACATAGCCGTTTTGTATAAAAGACTTAGAATTGTCTCCATACCAGCATTCGTGAGATCATTTAACATTCGCTGCTTGACAACTGAATCCGTAACAAGGAAGGATGGCATATTCCTACCTGACTTCCGGCACCGCTTCTTCCACCTTCACATCATCAACGCTTGGAGGAGACACGTTCAGAATTGCTGTCATGGGAGCAGCCGCTGTAGGTAAGACAACTATCATCAGCCGGTTTGTGCACGGCACGTTTCCTCGACTTTACTGGCCAACAGTGCAGGAACGCTACACCAAAGACATTGATGTGAATGGAAACTCCGTTGTTCTGGACATCTTTGACACCCCTGGGGGTTATTGCTTCTCTTATTTGAGAGAATTAGCCATCGCCAATGCTGATGCGTTTGTGCTAGTGTACTCTGTCGCAGATGAGGCATCCCTTGAGACGGTGGCTAATCTCAGAGACATGATTGTCCGACGGAATCCGGCTGGTGTTCCCATCATTGTTGTTGGCAACAAGACAGACCTGATACCCGCAACTCCTCGTTTTATGTCAAGTGAGAAAACTGAATACATGGTGAATGTAGGCTGGCAGCATACCTACAAGGAAGTGTCAGTCAAGGACAGTTCCAACGTTTCAGACATTTTCAGAGAGATTGCCATTCAAACCCAATCTTTTCTGTTCCCTAAAAGAAATCGTATCAACATCTTCCAAAGAATCAAACGTCGTTTGAAGAGGAGCAAGTCGGGGAAAAAATGATTAACTAGTGCTTAAAAGTGTAATATATATGTACTATGTGCAATGTATAGACAAATATGACAAATGCGTCAGTATGACACTGACGTTTTACCAATGGATGAGTCTGATGTAAGGCAGCTTTGTTGAATAGTGAATAGTGGATGCCAAATAAATCTTCGTGTGAATTCATATAAATTTGTTCTTTGTCTAATCCTTGTCTTAACCTTATTGTCCCCCAAAATAGTTTGAGGGAAAATGTCTAAAAACATGTTTGGCCAGGAAATATGTATAATGCCTCAACTTTTCAGGGATTATGTATTGTTCCCGACTGAATGACACATTATATATAAGCCCGGAACTTTTCAGGGATTATACACATTCCCTGACATACATGCACCTCCACTACATTTGCCAATGTCATCTAAAGTTGTCACAAAAAGAATTGTTGCAATATGTAGGTCTTTATCAAGGGATTTTATCAATTGGTAATTTGCCCAAGTAGTTTTAATTAAGCTTCAGGTATAACGCTGATCTGATATAATTCAGTATTGGTAAAATAGTCAATTCCCTGATTTAACAACCTGTAGTAGGGGTTGGTGTCGTAGCCTAGTGGTTACAGCATTCCCCTGTGACGCACTGGGTTTGACTCTCCACATAGGTACAATGTGTCTAGCCCATTCCACGTGTTTCCCGCCGTGATATTGCTGGAATATTGCATTCACGAGATGGGGGAATAAATGAGATCAGTGTCACATTAAGATCTATGCAAAAAGATTCAGAATGACAGAAAACTCTCCACAAGACTTCATTTCCAGTGTCATTCAATGACCTTCGATTTCCTGAAATACGCGCCTACTACAACCTCATCTGACCCAATAAAGTCACATTATTTCTGGTCTGGGAAACACATGTCCAATGTAAGATAACTTTGAAACAGAAACTCTTATGCCTCTATCTACATAACTACACACGCCTACCTCAGTAAGAAAGTTAAATGCACTTTCAATTGAATATCATTCTCATTTGTAAACTTACATGCAGTATGCAGTGCGGCTTTATAAGAAAGTCTGTTGTTTCTACCAACAGTTATCGGTGAGGTTACATTTACTTCTGTTGTAAATACAAGCAACAAACCCTTTCCACAGCCACAAGACATTTCTACTAAAAGCAGAATCGACTGTACGATTCTGACAGTATCATGTTAATGTGTTTATGAAGCCTGGTCTAGGAGCCAAAAAATCTTGTTTGTCTCTGCAAAACCGGCTCATTTCGCAAGCACATCGACGGCTTGTAGGTCACAGCGATGTAAACCTTGACGCGTTTCATTCAAACATAAGTCAAATGAGAAAAAGTGTCTTGCAGTGAGTTGTATATCTCTTTGGCCCCAGCGGGAAGTCCATGATCCTGAGGAATGGTACTGGGGGTTGGCGTCTATGCCCGGTAGTTCAGTGAACGTGTCGAGTGAACGCTGGTTTCTGACGCAGTTTTCAGTGAATCCAGTTTTCAATGGAATTAGTATTATTCCTGGATTATCTGTCCTACTTTAAGGTCCTGCTTTTTTTCCCCCGGCCATTACAACTGAGCAACTGTTTTTATTTCACGTCCTTTTCGTGGAGTGAACAGAGCAAATAAAGCCACAAACCCTTTCCAAATCCAATAGAAAACTCTGCATAAAGCAGAATCTATTGTACAATTCCGACTATAGCATGTGATTATGAATCACTATCAAACAGTAATGATATCAGGTGTTCTTGAAAAGGTTAGCGTATCCTGCCCTACCGGTGGCACACGTCATAAAGAAATGTAAAGGCAAGTCAATGCATCTTAAACAAACGTGGGGAAACATGGTACAAGTCAAAATAGGGAATTGCATCGGACATCATTTTGTCACTGATGCGTCAAGTTTGGAAATGTCCGCCACAAACATGGTTTGCTTGACTGTGCAGATTTTTTTCTGGTAAGGGAAATCTAATATCCTTTAACTTCTTAAAAGGATCGTTTTGATAATGTCAGCACTCGTATAATTTTTGGCTTTTTAAGATAAATATAAGTAATAGATAAATTTAGAATAGTTGATATATGTTTTAAAAGTAGTTTAACATTATTATAAAGTGATATTGTTGATGGTGGGGCTACTCAGGGGTTGGAGTGGTGTAAGTATATTGTCCTTCTGCCAGTGGCACGTAAGCCTCGATCAAGGGATATTATTGACCAGTTATAACCATAAGCCATAAACATACTGTCATACAGTACAATAACCAGATCCAGATAACATGACATGACTTTCATTCTTTCATCACAAGGGATCCTCACATTTCAATAAATACTCATATGATCAAGATGACATATTCACATTGTGACGTCTTCAAATTTGGACTGACAACCAAAGTGGTTGTTCCCTATCCCTGGGTTTAGATTGATGTAGTTTATTCATAAATACTTGGGTGTCCGATTTCTTTTGCATTAGATAGCTGCTGTAACTTCTAACCACAGGTTAATAATCACTGTTGGGGATAAGCAGTGGTGTCACAGACGTGCTGAGTGCACCTTTAGAAGTCACAGCAGCCATTTTGTTACCAACAATTTCAAAAGAAATTCATTAACCAACAAGAGACATAAATACACACACTAATCTTAATCACTGCTTATAAAAGAATGGTAAATCACCATGTCTGGGGATGTTTTATCAGACATTTTCATCGATCAAGTTTTTGTTATCTCCCGTTCGTTCCCCTGAGGTGATACGATGTAGTTTTTGACTGCGCATAATATAAGAAATATGTTTTGTTCACGAAATACTGCATCCCATAGAGTGGGTTGCGCGTTATGCTTGTGTATGCAATCAAAGATATGTTCTAAAAATGTGGCTTCCTCCATAATGTTTATGCAATGCCATCAAGCTATGGCTCAAGATCCTCATGAAGTCTAATTTGCACCATAAATGAATACAATTTGTCCCGGTTTTAGACAATTTAATTATTTTTTCAAGACATCATTTCTGCATTTTGTTGAGACATAATTGAAGCTATCAATAGTATACATACTTTTATCCCAGAAGATGTATTGAAATCAGATCCTAGTTCCCGAAACCGCTAAGATCAACTGTCACCTCAGAACGATCTTTCACCCAAGCATTCAAGTGTTACTTACCAGATCCGGAAAGTGAAAGTCGGAATTTGTTTTCTAATCATGCCACTTGCAAATGGTAAACATTTGAAACGGAAGATACACTTTGGGGAGTGAGTTCATAGTTTTGTATTTTCAATACATTTCAGAGCCCGAGGGGTTCTTTATGGAATTGAAATAAAAAGCAAAAAGAATGCATAAAAATGTTTACAGGGCGAAGTCTGGCTCAAAATATTGTCGATAGAACAGTAAGATTCAAACGAAATGTGAATTTTTCCGTCATTGACTATATACTAACATTTGGACTCATTAAATCTGGGAATCTCAATAGTTTACATCTTGGTAACAATCGACGCTGGCTAGGGCGGAGATTTCTTATCAAGGGATTTGTCGATTTTATTTGCAGGAATATCTTCTCTCTTTTCTTTTTCATAAGTTTACACTATCCTGAAAATCTGCGTATTGAAGGATGCACAAATCTTAAAATTGAAGATCTCTTTCAAACCTTCAACACCTGAACGTAAATCATACATCATTTTACATACACACTCACGGAAGTTTTGAAGTAACTGTTAACCAACATGTTCACAACATATTTGAGCTTTTCATGGTATCTTGTCTTTAATATCTGAGACCCATAGGGGCGGTCGGGTAGTCTAGTGGTTAAAGCGTTCGCTCGTCACGCCGAAGACCCGGGTTCGATTCCCGACATGGGTACAATGTGTGAAGCCCATTTCTGGTGTCCCCCGCCGTGATATTGCTGGAATATTGCTAAAAGCGGCGTAAAACCATACTCACTCACTCACTCACTGAGACCCATAGTCCCATGTATGAGTTGTGTCATTATTTCAGATGCCCGAGAATTAGAATAATTTCAGATGAACATGTCTAAAAGATCCCCCAGCGTTGTTTTGATCCAGGGTGACAAAACTCTCTCCACAAGACTGTATGACAAGGGGGGTGACTTCAACTTTCCAATCGTCATCTTTCCATTTATGTCTAATAATTTTCCTGCAGCTTCTTACAAAATTACGTGAATGACTAGTCAATTGTAGCATTCAAAATGGTGTGTCTTTTATTCTTGAATTGAGTATGAGCTTATCTGAGGCTGAGGTAAGGAGAGTACCATCGTGAAAGCAGCGGCATATTGCAAGGATCGAGAAGCAACAGAGTCAGGAGTCAGAAATGTGACGTCAAAACGTTCGCGTATCTTGAGGCAATGAAAAATAGGGGAAATATAGGAATGTGGGTTGCTTCTAGTTACGATGTGAGCTGTTCTGGTTTTGAATTTTCTTCAGACTTGTGAGCAGCTGCTTATCAGATATTCCAGTTTCAAGGCCTTTGTAATAATCTCGTCAGGATAGAATAATGATTGAACAAGGATGGCAGTTGCATGTTTGGTGATAAAATGTAGGATAGATCAATTGTATCTTACATGGAGCTGGCTTATTTTATACAGAGGATCATATCCTATGGTGAAGCTAGGCACCTTGATGTCTAACAGTAAGAGTGACAGAGTTGTCACTTGTGTCAGATGTCAACAGTTCCTAAGACTAAAAGGTGGACCTACCAAAATAACCCCAGTGTTTTCATCGCTATGCTCTTACATTTGTAATAACATCCACTTTTGAGAAGCAATTTTCGAACAGACACATGACTGTCAGTTGCCATACTGAAACTGACATCATCAGAATGTCCACCATCAGAATGATGAGCTCACGTAGGAGATGCAAAAGAGGTATCAAATACTGGGTGAAGAAGATGGGGTCTAAAACGGAGCCCTAAAGAAAACTTGTCAGATAAGCATTATCGATCAGCCTTCTCTGGTGTCCCCCGCCATGTTATTGCTGAAAGCTGCCTAAACCCATGCTCATTGAATCCAGTGTTTTGATATGGCCAAACAGTTGAGCTAGGCTGGTGTTATAACTATTTGATAGTGATTCATAGACACATGCTCATGACGTAGTCGGAATCGTATAGTCGAGATGCAGAGTTTTCTTATGAATATCGACACGGTTTTGTTGCTTCTCTGTAC